ACCCTTGCTGGCTGGGGAATTCTGGGAGTTGGAGTCCACCCGTCTGAAAGCTGCCAAGGTTGGGAAATGCTGGTCTATAAACTCCATTTTCTCCATTCATATCTTCTGTTGCTGGTATCTGCAGTAGGTTGTCAAGTAGATGCTTGTTAGAGGCGCAAGAGTTTCATAGGGTCTGGAAAAGCAGCATGTTTTGGGGTGTGCAGGCAGCATCTTGACACCCGTAGAAAAGGGGCAGAGCTCGCATCACAACGCCGGAACCCAACTTACGTCCCTCGGACCCCACTTGTTCTGTATTTATTTTGCAAATTGATCTGGCCCCCCGTCTTAAACCGATACCTCTAACCAGCATTTGCCTTCCCCCATCCACAGATGCCCGAAACGTTCTCCCTCTTATTCCTCACCGAGGAAAGCGCATGAGCTAAGTGTTTCATGCACAACTGACAACAGGAATTCTTGGAGCAATTTGCAAGGATTGGTTGCACGCCTTTGCAAATTCGGGGTGCGGGAATGTCTTTCGTGATATTTCTGTCCTCAGTTCTGCACGTGGGAAGCTGGCGTTCGTAAGAAAAGGATGTTTTGCATCTCCAAGGGGATTGCCTTCCCGTCTCTGCGGAAAATGGGCGAGTAATGCTTTCCAGGAGCCTTTTGCTCAGGACCACAGAAACCTAGATCCAGCTTCAGCTTGAGTTTTTCCAGACTGATTCCAGACCACTCCTCTGACACTCCAGCATTTTGCTCTTGGATGGAGGCGTGATCGAAAAAGCCAGTGGGATGCGTGGGTCATGTTTGGAAATATCTCAGCTCCTTCAGTATTCCCCAAAGAGAACATCTGGAGGTTTTCTAAGTAGGTTGAAAGGTTGTTTCCACAAAAGTTGAATTTAGAATGAACTGTCACCTCGTAACAACCGATCCTTCCATAACATTTCTGCCTTGCCAAGTCCCTCTCGCTCAGCCGAGCCGTGCATTTTTGCATCTGACTTTAGAACGGGGAAAATAACAGTCCTGTCTTTCACGTCACAGATCTTCAACTGCTGTGGACCCTAAATCACTGGTATTAAATATTTCATGGTTGTGTTGATGCTGACGGTTTTTTAAGATTTCTTGGCCGCATTTATATTAAATTTAATTTTTTTGGACTGGTTTAAATGTTGACTGTTTTTATGGTTGTTAGCCGCCCAGAGTCCCTGGTCTGAGATGGGCGGCTCTATAAATTGAATGAATAAATAAGTAAAAATTCACGAAGGTGGCCTTTAATTTGCAAACAGGATTTGCTGTTCTGAGTCCCATCCCAGCTGTTTCTAGTTGTTTTTGCAAGCCTCCTGAATTTTCAAAAGGATTATTCCTTTATTTCAGCATCTTGTGCAAATGCATGGCTTTTAGGCCTTGGCACGCTGTCTTTCCATGGTTGTTGATAATGGTGTGGGCTTGAATACATGTGAGTAGACAAATTATCATCTCAAATCACAAAAAGCAAAATATCCAGAGCAAGGAGAAAAACAGAAACCAGATAAAACACACTCTGTACGTGTTTGTATGTGAGTGTATGTATACACACGTGTGCCTTTTTATTTCAAATGGAGTGAATAATTTACAATACAATAACTTAAAAAGCGCCATTTAGTTTTCCGTATTTGTACTTTCTCATTCCAGCATTTTTCCCCGCTGGCAGGCTAGCTCAGTGAGATTTGATCCATGTGCTTTTTATGCATTTTGCTCTTGCGTGAAAGAGGAATGGTGCATTATGAGTATGTATTGTACCCACTTTAAACAGACACAAAAGGGCGAGTGGGATTTTACATATGGACAAATTTGTTTGTTGCATGCAAAGTCTGTCAAACCGAGGTCTGTTAAACTGAGGCTTTACTGTTTTTCTAAAATACCTTAATCTGGAAGGATCATCGTAAGCCAGGCCTTTCTAAGACATTCGTGAGTATAAAACGTTGAGGTGAGTTTGCACGCGACGCAAAGACTTTTCAGCGGAAAAGGCATCGGTGCGACAGTATTTGCATAAGGTACTGAGTTTGTTCAGTGTTAACCTTGGTTAGTTTTTAATGTGGCGTAGTGTGTTGTATGAGCCAAGGTCATTTGTATTTGGTTAGCCTTTCTCTTGGGCAAACTCAGAAAATGGGTTAATCCAATAACCAGGTTAAGTGTGTTGGAGGAACGCAACACCAATTTCAGATGGCACCAAGTGTCTAAAGGAGAAATCTAGCCATTAGGTTTATTGCAAGAAAAGAGGGGTTAGGTTACAGAATCTTGGAAAATGGTTATGTGTGTATTTTAGCTCTTCCCCCCACCCCACCCCCCATATCAGCAGGTATGTCAAGGCAGATCCTCCTTGATGTCTTTGATCCTCTTTCATTCTCTCTTGATATAAGGGGAGCTGGCTGCCCGTTGATGAGAATCGAAAAGAATATCCATATTCTTGTTCTGCAGTGTTTTGCAAATGTCCATTCTCATTCCCAGGTTCAAAGAATTCCAGTATTCCACCCTAGTTTCCAGATTTTGTCCATTGTTCCTCTGTTTTTGAGGTCTTCAGAGTACATGGATGGTCACTAGGGGAGACAGCATGATGTCCTGGACCAGATTTCTCCAGCTTGATATTCTCCACATCTGTGGAACTGCAACTCTTATCATCCCTAGACATCCTGGGAATTGCAGTCCATCATATTTGGAGGGTACCAGCATCTGGAAGCCAAGCAGATCCGACCTGGGGAGATCTGACTTGGATGGGAGACTATTAGAAATCCCAAAAGGAAACAACAGCATACTACCCTATTATTCCCAAGAACGTTTAGCCAGAAGGTTCCATAGTCACCTTACCTGTGTCCCCCATCCAATGAGTTGCATTAGTGGTAGAGATGCTGCTTGGAAATGCAGATGTTCTACAGATGTTCCTCAAGTTCCTCCTCCTTTTCTGTGACTCTCAATCTGCACGTATCAAAGTAGTGGTGGCCATCTTACAATCTCTTGGGTGCATGTGTTGATGTAACGCAGAACCCCATTAATTTGTGGGGAGTAGGGGTCTGCCCAGTGGCCCCAAGTGGCTGGTTCTTATAGTTGGAGCATGAATCATGGGCTTAATTCTGCCTTTGTCTCCTTTCAGGGGACCCACCCCAGGCAGCTGCTTGGATCGGTCAATGCCTTCTCTACTTGCTCATAATGATCTTTGAGAAAACCACAATTGGTCTTGTCTTACTCATTCCTGGTTGGACAAAGGTAAGGAAGAAGAACCCAACTGACATCTTCTGTTACTCATTAACTTTACTGACCTTTAAGGGACGCTGTTAGGAGCAAGATTAGCACATGTATTTAAATGCTTCCTTAGAGAAAATGCATTAGGGGGAAGATGCTCTATCTTTCTACATGTGGGGAATATTTTGGTGTGGATATCAGATTCCATACACATGCTTCCCTTTACAGCTCATGTGTTGGAGACAGCAGGGACATGGTTGTGTGCAATTAAGGCAGCAATTGTCTGTAGGATTAATTGGCTAACACCTGCTGTGTTACCACAAAACAAAGTTATGGGTGCTGGAGTGCTTGTGGGATCCAATTAGGCAAGTCCTCCAACTATAATGCGTTGAGTTCTCAGAGCAAAGGCAGGAGGACAATGCAAGAACTTGCAGATTCCCTGAATTTCTTTCCCCTGTCAAGGAAGCTGTGAACGTGTGCATCACACCCTTGTATAATACAGTGGCCTGGAGTCTGGTGGAAACTGCTGTGCGTAAATTCAACCAGCCTTCGGTTTGCTGCATGAACATCTGGAATAGTCATTGAAATGCAGTACAGTGAGATGCTGCTTTCATTACTGTAGTAAAGAAAAAAAAATCTCCCATTTTGGACCAGGCTAGCCTAACCTGGGTGCCCCCCAGATGTGTGGACTTCAACTTCCAGAATTCTCAGCAGTGGCCAGAAGTTCTCCATCTGGAGGGTTCCTAGGTTGGAAGAAGGCTGGTAGAGATTCTTCTCACCCTTAATTGTGGGAGATGGAAAAAATAAAAACAGGTGCCTCGGATGGAATATGCTACAGATGACTCATCCATGATAGGTCGCTACACGTGTGTGCAGAACAAGTACTAGTGTCCTGATCGCTGTTTTGGAATATGGTGGCAAAGATCTGGTTTGGTCACGCTTATGAAGATGTGCTTGAGCATTGCTAACTGTCACATGTCATTCCCCAAATTCCCTCTGCTTTTCCCAGCCACAGCAAAGCCTTCCAAGGGAGATGTTGTCAGCTGGACATGAGAGTTCTCAGCTTCTTTTTCGGAAGGCTTCATTCGAAGCTTCGTTCGAAGTGAAAAATGCGAACGAGTTCCTTCTTGGAGCTCCTGCTTTCTGTCCTTTGCCATAGGTGATTTGTTTGAATGAATTCTTGGCTCTTCAGCCAGCGTGGAATAGCCTTCGCTGAGAGAGCCGGGGAGACGTGGTTGGCTGGCTTGGTGTGCTGCAGAATTCATCGGCGTCATCGCACCGAGGCGTTCTCACTTCACGTGGGGACAGGCAGCTCACGCTGTGGGGTTCTTGTCAGTTTCCAGAAGTCCCCCTTGAACAAGCTGGGTTGCAATTTTGAGATCCCTCCCCCTTTTTTTGTAATTGGAAGGCTTGGAGGAGTTTTAGAGGGGATAAAATTAGGGAAGATCCCCTGCCTCAAGATCCTTGAGCCACCAAAAAAATGTGTTTTCGGATGGAAAGTGTACAAGGCAAACTGGCCAGTGCTTAAATACTCTTAAAATTCCCCTAAATGAAAAAAAAAATGGGTACAGAAACATCGGCCCTGTCCACTCCGGTGGACGTCACTGGCCGTGGCTTCCCCAGTAGCTTCCAGACAGGGAATAAATAGAAATAACCCCAGGCTCAAAAGGTTGCACTACATCAATATTTTTCAAACTTGGCCACTTTAAGATGTGTGGACTTCAACTCCCAGAATTCCCCTGCTGGCAGGGGAATTCTGGGAGTTGAAGTCCACACATCTTAAAACGGCCAAGTTTGAAAAACACTGCCCGACATTAAAAAAATAAGGAAGAATGGCTTGAGATCAGCTCCTGATGACTACATGGATATGTCCATGCAGTTTTCCCGGCAACAATTATAGAAGCGGTTTGCCACTGCTTTTCTCTGTGGTGTTTTTTTTTTATTTTTTCAGTCTCCCAATCTAATCTACAGCCCTGTGATTTCCTGGTGGTCTCTTGTCCAAATATTAACCAGGCCCAACTCTGCTGAGTCCAGACCAGGTTTCTCCTCCATAAATGGACTCTTAGGTGTCTCTTTTTTCCCCCAGCTTCAAGAAATCCTTCTGGATTACATCCCTTCTCCCCAGCTGGAGCTGGTATTGGTGATGCTCGTGGTTCCTTTCATAGTCAACGTGAGTAAAACGGTTGGAAGGAAATGTACCTTTCAGCAAGGGATCTGGAAGGGGAGATGGGCAGGAAATGGGATTTCCATCTGTCATCTGAGGTCAAAACGGGCAGAAAACCTTCGCCTTGGAAAATATGACTTCTTTGTTTATAATTAATTTAGACGCATAAGGCCACCCCATTCAGCATCAGCTCTGCATGGTGCACAGTTTAAAAACAGAAATGAACAAAAAGCAGCCCTTGCAGCAAACGTAACTGGGGGAACAAATAACCTAGCCAAAACAGACATTGCACACCAATGGGCACATCTTAGCCTACCCCTGAGGGCGGGTGGGTGAAACAGGTTTCCAGGCATCGTTTAAAGCAGTCGTTCTCAACCTTGGGGACTTTAAGATGTCTGGACTTCAACTCCCAGAATTCCCCAGCCAGCCATGCTTGCAAGATTTTGAAAGTTTGTAGAAGACAACCACAAGCAATATTGAGGGTCCTGGGTAAAAGTTAGTGGCTTTTTTTTTTGGCCCATCCAGCAGGCTGTTGGACCGGGCTTTGACAAACATATCAGTAAAATAACAGGAAGGCAACACCCTGGCTTATTCTGTCAAGTCACAAATTGGATCAAAACGGAAGCAGAGAATGGTGGTGGTGTTAATCAGCTGTTAAACTCGTTAGAAAAAAACAAAGCAAAAATAAATAAATAAAGATAAAACCAAACTGCAGGAAGCCGTCATAGCAGAGGAAGGCCAGGCGCCTCACGTTATAACAGGCAGGTTGTAACTGCTCTTAGATTGTGTATATTGTAAAAGCTACAAGGGCCAAATCTTGCTAACCGACGAGAATGAAAGCAAACCGTGAAGAGAACGGGTGATCCCAACTATTATTAATGTCCCCAAATGTCTGATGAACTGAGCTCCATTTCTGTATATGTTTTTTGTCTCTTCATACTCTTATGTTTTGCTCATACACCAAAGTCTGATGCAAGCGGGGTGATGCTTTCCCCCAACCATTTTAATCTCCCCCCACCCCACCCAGATGTGTCAGGATGAGAGCTTCTGAGTCTCCAAAGGAGCTTCACGCGAGCTGGGGTTTTAAATACGGCTTTTCCCAGTCCAGGTCTTTTACACCACCACGCTAGCTATTAAGAATTAGGAGTGTGCAAAATATTTATGGTTGAAACATTTGAAGCCCGAAAGGTCCTGCTTTAACCCTAAATGTACTTAGCTTTTGAAAATGGTGATTTTCCAAATGTTGTATTATATTGGGGAATGATCTGTACCGAAACTATTTTCATGAAAACCATGTTCAAAGGTACCCTGAGTTAGGGGGAAATGTTTGAACAAAATTATTTGGTAGCATTGCTGACAGAACCACATTTGCTTAGAGAAATGTGCTTAAAACCACAAACCCACTTTATGGCAGACGTGAAATAGTAACTCTCAAAGGTGACCACCATTCTTGTGATAAACCACACGGATAGAATGTAGCAACTCATATAAACCCAAACCTTGGCCAGGTTTGGCAGATTTCCCACCCTAACAAGCAGTAGCACAAATTCATCTTTCTGTCTACACATGCAAATATATTCTTTATTCTTCTCCCCTGCCCCTCCTTTTCAGGCTCTCATGTTCTGGGTTGTCGACAGTTTGATCATGAAAAAATACAAGGAGAAGGAAAAGCTGGAGGTCAGTGACGTGATGGAATATCCACCAGCTTTGAAAGATGACGAATTCCAGGTAGGAGAAGGATCATTGCTGTTGCGCGAGAAAACAACCCGTTGGTCCGTGCAGAGCTTTGAAGAGGCCTTTTGATGAGGGTTTAGCTGAAGCATCCTCTGAGAGAGCCAGTTTTTCTTTGTCTATTTTAGGGGAAAAAATGAAGGTCTTGAAAGCAGGCTGTTTTACTTGGCCTAAAGCTCGTGGTGCAGCGTATGTGTGTGAATGTCCACAGGCATTCCTTCCCTCCTTCCCCCTTTAACTGGGGATAAATTAATAACTGTTTTAAGACAATCTGGTTGGGCTGCTGTCCCACCCACTGATAACTGTTCCCGTGTAAAAATGCACTTTAAGAAATGGACAGTGTCATGCAGACTATTATTAGGGTGAGGAAAGTGCCCATTAATGGAAGAGGGGGGAAAGATCATCGCACATCACGAAGCTTGTGGCAGAAAATGGCCAATAATAACCAGGAAATCCAGAAGTTTGGCAAAATGCAATTTTGCAGTGCTTTCCAAAGGGAGACTGAGAAATACATCCTCTCCATTCGGGAAATCCTCTGAGCCCGCTCTAGGTTCAAAGGGAAGAAAAATCCATCTTATTTTTCCAACAAGCCTTTGTTCTCTGTCGATGCACATGGGGGTTTGCATGCTCAGCATCCCTGTCTCTGTTTGCAGATGGGCTGTCGGTGCCAAAGGGCAAAATTTGGTCGGGAGATAGTTATCTGTGCCGTCCCTACCTTCACCTCCGCCCTGCAAGTCTCCACATTCTTCTAAATGTTTACAGTGACCAATGCTACAGCTGACTCTCCCTCTGCGTGCAGTCTTTTTAGAAGAGATGGATGTCTGTTTAAATTGCAACTTTTGGCCCTGTTAAAGAAAACTAGGTGGGAAGGGATCCAAAAGACATAAGAACAATCACCTGTCTAATCTCAGATTTCACCCAGAGTAATAGACTGGAGGGGAGGGATCTCAGAGGGATCTGGTCCAACTCCCCAGTTGGTTCAGGATCTGCTACAGCATTTGAAGACCTCCAGTGAGCTCTTGCTATCAGTGAAAAATAGGGGTGCGTTGTGTTGATTTCTTTAGAGGGGTGTTGGGGTACAAATCAATCAATCCATCAATCACAAAAGTACAGATGTGGGTTCCCTATGAAGGCTGAATCGTTTTTAAAGGAAGTTGTCTTCAAGTTCAGCTCAACTCCAAGAGACTTCCTGGACATGCGTATGTAGTTTGCTGCTGAGGAATACAGAAGCAATCTTTCACTCTGTTCTTCTAGCATATTTTCCCAACTTCTCCACCTAGTTTACAACCCTGAGGGTTTCCTGGTGGTTTCCCATCCAAGAATTAACCTGGCTTGACCCTGCTTAAGTTTTTCCTATGATCCAAGCTTAGCTAGGTGTTTTGGGTGTTAAAAGAGAAGCATGTCTTCCACTGATGTATTTAAAGTTTAGTTAGAACTTTGGAAAATGCTGAATGGAGATGTTTCATAATCAGATGTAGCAGAAAAACGGCACTATTGTGTTGGATCAAAGTTAATATGATTAAAAAAGCTTTCACGTGGCACAGAAGGATCCCTTACTTGGGCTGTATATTAAAAAAGAAAAGCGAGGCGTGTGTGTATGCATGTATGTGTGTGCAAAGGGAATGCTGTCTGAGCCAATCTCTGCAGCATTTGGGGATTGTAGCTTTCATTTCCTTACATTGTCCTGGGGAAATGGTTGAAAGCTATTATGTTAGAACTACATTTTGTGTGCTAAAACCGGGTTAGGTTGGGCCGGAACAGCAAAGAAACAATGCCTTTTGGGAACTCGAAGGGCCAGCAGGCAGTTTCCCCAGCAATAAAACTTGCTAAAGTTGACTCATTTTTATAGCTCCCCTGTAGAAAAATCAGTCCATCTTTCCCCTGTGATCTTGTATTTGCGGTTGGCGTTTGCAATGATCGTTTTTCTGTTCACACTTCTGATTGTGCTTTTGGCCCTAAGGAAAGGGCACAAGAGCAGCCACGAATAGTGCAACAATTTTGACCAAGGGGATTCACTTACCTCTTTGGGGCAGAGTCCTTTCTTAAAAGCATCTGAGTCTTTTCTGTAGGGATCTTTCCCCGTCCTTGAGTTGGAAGAAAAGCAGGCAGGTTTGACATTTGCTGTCCCCCCTGCTTGACCCTTCTCCTGTCTTCGAGGGTCTCCGTTCCCACTCCCTGCCGGTCCCCTATCGTCCCTCCGAGAGAACGGGTGACAGATTTTACACACCTTGTGGCTGTTCTTGGAGGTTGGTGGAATAAGAGGGAAAGTCCATAACCCTTGACAATAACTTTCTGAGACTGGAGGACAACACTGAGTTGTTCCTCTTTAGAGCAAACTGCATTAGATTTAAAAAAAAAAAATGCATGAACGAACAGGCATCATTCTCCATCCACTCACAGGGGATTGAACTTGAAAACTTACAGCTATCAGAACTGGGTTGCAAACATTGGAGCCGCCCCTAGATGGCAGGAGAGAGACGGTTGTCTTTGCTGCCATCTGATGGTCATCTGGAGCATGGTGGAGTTTTGATTTGATAAACCAGTGTTTTTCAGACTTGGCCCCTGTAAGATGTGTGGACTTCAGCTCCCAGCATGGCTGGCTGGGGAATTCTGGGAGCTGAAGTCCACACATCTTACAGGGGCCAAGTTTGAAAAACACTGTGATAAACCCTATCGCAAAACATCACAAACCCTAACACAACACAGCCCAAAACACTGGCACTGATGATGTTACCTAGTTGGGTAATGAAACGTCTGCAAGCAAACAGCCAAGCTCAGAGAGCACCAAGGAGTCCACACAACACAACTGCTTGCTGTAGTTCTTTTCGACGTTTATTTCTTGCCCAGCTCCGAGGATTCCTGTACTGGACAGGAGGTTGGACTAGGAGACCTTCAGGTCCCTTTCAACTCTATGGGGACGAACACTCAACTCCTGCAGAATCCTTTGGTGCTAGAGAAATGTTTGG